TGGAGGGAGAGTCCCCCTCCCTACAGGAAGCCACGACCACGTGTCACGGGAGGGAAAATGGGCGCGGATCCTGTTTGTCACCCGATCCGACGTTCGTGAACAGAAGCAAAATTTTGCGAACAGTGCTGTTCGTGACCCGAATTGGTCATGAACAGAAGGGTTTGTGACCCGAGGTACCACTGTACATCCAAATCTCTGAAAATGGGTTCATTACTGTTGAAAGAACAGAATATATGATGCATGTGTTGTCTTTCAGTGGTAACTTTGTTTAGGTAAACTGCATGAACAGGTTGTCAGGCCTCTCTAGGAAGATGAATTCCATGTGAAAGTATTTTGCTGTATAAAAAAAAAACTGATAGTTTTGGTACCTGCTCTAAGAGTTCTTGATTTGTTCTTTTTTCTTTTTGGATGCACAGCAGAAATTAATATAAGGATAAACCTGTAGTGGTCTAACCCAAGTAAATTACTATAACACTTTTTTTCTCATGCTTAGCTATTTGAAGAAGTTCATATCTATCCATTCCTTTCCCATGTATGAAATTTCTGTTTATGCTCAACCTAAATGTTTTCCAGAATAGAAAAATAGTTTTTTCTTCTTTATTTTCTGTATATTTTAACAGGAGAATGTAATTCTTCTCCATATGGGCTGTATTATTATTACTCTACACTTCTCTATATATTACACACTACATGATCTTATTTATATCATCTGCTTATGTCTGAAAGCAGATTAAAATTTTTGCTGAATTTATTTTATTCCCATGGAAACATGTTACAATGAAGGAGACATTTAGAGAAATAATTTGTGATGAAAGTCAGTAGTGTAGGTTGCAGGCCTACTCTGAAGTCATTTCAAACCAAAATAGATATTCATTGGATTATCACAAAAACAAATTAACTTATAAAGCTCTAACTAAATTATTTCTGTATTTCCCCTCTGCTATTAAATTATGTTTTTAGCTAGTGGTAGAAGAGCCAGCCATAGATAAAGCCATTATTAAAAAATACTGCTGCTACTGAAAAACAGCTGCTTGGTAGGATAGCATACTTTTGGACTATTACAACATCTGAGATTTCTGAAACAAAACATGGTTGTTCAACAATAATTGCAGTGCTGGATCTTTTCTATTCAGGTTGTCTGACTTCATTTTTCAGTGTACTGCTACAGTTCCCCTTAGCACGTTCCTAAAAAGTTATACAACATCAGAGTAGCAGTTTCATTAACTAAAAAGCCTTTGCAAATTACTGAAATAAGTGATTTATCTCTGTTGCAATACAGGTATGTGTTCATTTTAACATGGGGTTCTGAATAGGTTTCTGCAAAGAGATATCTGATTATGCTGCATGATTCTGAAAGCCTGCTCTGATTGCCCATTTTTATTCTGAAACTAGAACTGAATCTTCTTTCTTCTGTTTCTAGGCCACTGACAAGGAACTTGAAGTTGCTGCTGCAGTGGCAAAGCAACTGGAATATCAGCAGTTCGAAGACGACAAACTCTCTCAAAAATCATCTTCAAGCAAACTCTCCCGATCTCCTTTAAAGATTGTCAAAAAACCAAAAACTATGCAGTGCAAAGTAATCCTTCTGGATGGCTCTGAATATGGCTGTGAAGTAGAGGTAAAAGTGAAGAGAATGGAACTTTTAGGGATTGATTTATGCACATAATGTTGTGTTAGGTGATTTAGTTGCATACAATTGATGAGTGCTTCCAGTGAAATTCCCTTTTTTTTTTAAATGTCAAAAGAGAATGCCTCCCTAACTAAGGAAATATATGGTCTATTCATCTTTTATACAGTAGGGGAGAAAAAAAGAATATTCTGTTTCATGGAGTCTTATGTGATTATACACTTGGCAATTAAGATTCTCCCTCAGAATACAATATTTATAGATAAAAGATATCAATAGCACCTCAGGACACACTAGTGAAGAAAAGGAGTAACAGTGACAGCATCCACAATTATTCCACGCTGTGGTTGGATTCATTAGCTGTGTCTTTTTTGAAGGCTGCAGTACGAGGGCTTCTCTCAATCATAAGACTTTTTAAAAATATATAGTAATGCCTGACAATAGATTGTTTGTGGGTTATATTTGGATTACTAGTTACAGATTTGGATAGGATATTCTCTTTCAAAAGGACTGTCCGAAATGGGAGAGGCAATGCTTTTATCAAAGAGCTGGAGCTCCTTATTTATGATCAAAATTACTGTTCAGGACTTCTTAGATTATGAAACAAGATATGCTGCAAATCATACACTTTAATAAATAAATCCTCGTGTAAGGACACCAGTTAAATTAATTGGCACTTGATTTGGAACAAAGTAATAATGTATAGTTTATTTAGGGAATTTGTTGTCACGTGGCAATGTGATTACTTTTTGAAAAACTAATGGAGGCTAAGTCCAACAATACAGTAGTTGTGATAATGTCATAGACCTTCCAGTTTTATAGGCAATATCCCACTGTGTCCTGGTTGCAAGTTGCTCTTTTTTTTTTTTTTGTCAGAGAAACTAAGGAGCTGTCCAGCTGATCATGATTTAAGATGATCAAAATAACAGGGAGCTGTCCAATGAAAACTAGGAACACAAAAATCTGAGATTGTACTTCCTCATGGGGAAGGCCACTGCTGTATACTTTTATATGATAACTGGCTTTTCTGACCCGTCCATTCTAGATTGTCTTTCTTTAAGCCCTGATCTAGCAATATGAGAAAATTAGCTTCCTTCTCAAGAAAAGGAGTCAAGGTTGATTGATTTTGGGCTCCCAGATAGCTGAACCTTAAGTTCTGGATTTCCTCTTAAAGTTGCTGCCACCACTGGAAGTAATTTTGATGGATCTCAATCTGAACAGTAGAAATAGAACAATATACAGTTGTACCTCGGGATACGAACTTCTCTAGTAAGGAGCTTTTCGGGTTACAACCAGCTCCGGCCTCAAAAATTTACCTCAATGTGCGAACTCCGCCGCGGGGTACGGCAATTTTTCCGCCCTGACACGTGGTCCGCGGCCATTTTCTCGCTGCGCGGTGCGGCGCCCGGCCGTTTTCCTGCCGTGCAGCGCAGCGCCCGGCCATTCTCCCAACGCGCAGCGCCCGGCCA